AGATTTCAGCTAATTCATTTAGGTGATTTTTTTTTTTTCGCCCTTTAAAAAAGCCGCCTTCAAGTTCAGGCACTTTGTAGGAAGTGGGCGTTGTGGACAAACGGATGGAAAGAAAAGGGGGATGGATGCAGGTGGCTGTCGGGAACACTGGGTTGTTTGCCATAGCTGCGGGGGACGCAGGGACAGCTGGCATTGGCCCCGGTCCGCAGCCAGCGAGAGCCGGTCGGAGACATTGGGGAGGCAGGGTCAGCCTCCGTACACAGACAGCACGGTTAGATCTGTGGCTGGGTATCCGCCCAGGCAAAGACTGCGTTTATGAAAGCTGACTTGGACTGCACCTCAGGGATCTGTAACAAAGTGATCTGGTAAAGCAACATGAAAGCAAATACCTGCGGCAGCGGAGTTTTCAACCACTACCAACAGTGACCCAGGAAAAACTAGAGGAACAGTCCAGTGACATGAAGTACAGCATTTACTGGAAGTAGTGGGGCAGGGCCTTCCTTTCTTGCCTTAATCATCGCCTATGCACGGTTTGAGTCTCTGCAGCTTCAGAACTTAGGTCACATGTCTAACTGTCATCAGTAAAGTTACCTTTGCAAACGCTTATTTTGAAGAGCTACTGTCAACAAGCAAAGTAAGGAAGTGTTTCAGCATCTGCAGCACAGGGATCTCCACTGGTACAGGTGCATTAGGCCAAAGAGCTGAAGTGGCAGCAAGCTCCTGGGCAGGAGACCGAGGCAGATGCACTGGCTTTGCCTGCGCCCTGGCAGAGCTGGCCCAAGAAGTGGAATAAGCAGGGGTCAGGCAAGTGGCAGCAAGCCCTGCTGCATAGCAGAGCTGTGACCTGCCTGGAAGTGTGGATGTGATACACGTTGCTTCCCCAACCCCAATGCTCACCTGTTTCAGAGACAACTCACTGGAGTTCAAATCAAGAATCTCTTCACAATGTGGTTAGGTTGATAATGAATGCAGTTTGCTTTAGGGTTTGGCAAGCTAAAAATCAGATTTTAAGGTAAAAACTACTCAAATTCTGATCTGATTTACTATATAACGGGTGGTAAACTATTTAAAGTGACTCAGAGGGTTATATCCATGCCCCTGTACAAGGCACCAGAGCATACTTAAACACAAGGAATGGTTTTCATCTGCTGACAGAAGTGTGTATTATCTATTCCTGTACAGGAACAGCAAACAATTGGCAGAAATGTCAGGCTAGCTCAGCATCTTGGAACTATTCAGAATATAAATTAAGATTAAAAAATACTTTCTCCTATCGCACTGCTCCCAGAGAATAAATATAATTTCTATTCTTATTTTCCACTTGTTTCCAAATTTCAGTACCCCTTAGCAAGACTGTAGCACTCCCACATACTTTCTATTTTTAAAAAATTATGGGTTTTTTTTTTATTAGCATGTTGTTCCACTACTTATAAATCTAGGCAGCATTTGACGTATTAATTTGATTAAACCAGAACATGAAAGTAGTTTGTTGAATGAGACCTCAATTTTGCAAGGAACTCCATGTTGCTCTAAAGTAGAAACAGTTAAAAGGATAGTCATGCAAAATAGCAATGGCCTATATAGTTAGAAAACATCAAACTTTATCCTGTAATACAAGCCGCAAAACCACATACCACTCAGAGCCATGCTTTAAAGGAATAGGCCATCTTGAGAAAGTGAAGTGTTATCTAAGTGTTTTGTAATTATCTGATACGACTACAGAGCAGGCAGTTTTCTGGAAATTTAGAAGACATACCTTTGAAAACAGGACTCCTGCATTACTGCTCTGACCCTTCTTTCTCATTTCCCAGATGCATTTAAATCTATATGTATAAACAGCCATAAAGTCATGAGATGACCCAAGACACAAGTGAAAAGTATATGGGCTCCGATTCTAGAAGCATTTGTCTGCTCGTGTTCCCACAGATAACTGCCTTTATCTTTGGGGCAACTCACTGAACAAAGAGAAAGTGCCAACAAGAAAACTGTATTGTGTTACCAAAGGAAAAGGGGAAAGTGTTGCTGAACTTCTATGCTGTCCAGCTCTTATTCATCCTTCGCCACAACATCAAAGTGAGGTGGAAGCTCTTAATACTGCTGCAACTCTCCCAAATTGTATTTATTAGGTGTTTACTAGTACAGTACTCTTAAAACCCCAAAATTTAAAAAAATCCTGAACAACAAAATAAAAACCAAAATGGCCAACCATACAACCCCCACCCCCCAATATATTGCTGTAATTTGCATGTGAGTCAGCTGAGATGTGAAATAGTAATGCATTGAATTTGGACTATTTTAAGACACTGGAGAGTAACTGAGGCTTCTTGCTCACAGGCATGGAACACATGCATTTCACTTGAAATGTAAGAAGCTCAGGATGCTTCTAGTTATGGGGAAATACCAACTCCCATTGCTGAGCTTCAGAAAATGGAACTGGATTCTTTTTGTCCTTCTCATAAAAGATGTTAGAACATGAAATACTATTTTTAGTAGTTAGTTTAGTGCCAACTATGAACTTCTGCCTTGGTGGGAAAAAGAAGAGATGGGGGAAAAAAAGGATACTGGAGATATTGGAAGCAGAATTTACTTATAATAGTAAAAGAATTGGAGTAGAGGATCCTCATAAGAAGGAGAGTGAAATTACTTACTCTTGGGAGAAAACTGTATTAAAATGGAGCTAACTCTAGCAACCATTTCTCAAAAGTACCAGAAGCAAATCAAAACTTAGAACATACAGTAAATTTTTTCTCAGCTCCCACTAGGCAAAAAAGCAAGAAAAATCCACACACCCCCCTTTTTTTTTAAAAACACTTAGAAAGCCCCTGATAAGCTCATGCATGTTGCCCCATGTAACAAATGTGGAGTGGACAAAAAAAAAGGCCACCAAGTTGTGAAGGCATCAGCCTTCTCATCCATAGGCATCTATGGATTAGAAATGGGAGAAGTGGTTTCCTAAAAATAAAATGTATTATAAAGATAACAGGAGAAAATAGAGACATTTTTTTTTTCTCAGGGTTAAAAGTTGTAAAGCTTTAAAAAGTCCTATATGCAAATGACACATTCACACACTTCCAAAGCTGAGATTACATCCCCATAAGGTATGTCTGCTGAAAATTTTCAGTTGAAGGAAATTGACCTATTATGAAGAATACTCTGATACAGGAAGAATGAGAGGCTTGAGAATCCCCAAATGACACGAGTTTTCCAAGAACCTAAAGTTCCTGTCACCCTGCCCTGGCAACATAGATGAAAACAGGTTTTCTAAATCTCCTTAGCAGATGCCTGTTGGTGAAAGCATTTTGGAGGACTCTGTAGGAGTGAAGGAGAGGGAAGAGGTAGAAAGCTCTCTTAAATGCCTGGGCAATGCAAAAAGAGAGAAACTTAAAAATTTGGACTCATGTAACAATTTTTATGGATTCTGCTAAGGTTAGATATCCCCAATTGACTGATTTTATTCCCATTGACTACTTCGTTCAATCTAAGTCTTCAGTTTAGATATGACAACTATTTTTTAGGTTAAGATGAGAAAGGTAGAAGAGAGCCCCTGTGAGTCATTTTAGGCTGAAAACATACAGCCGTTGTTTGAATGTACACATCATAAAAAAGCACCTATCACCCCTGCTTATGTAAAAGCCCCTAAAGCGCTTCCTTTCCACTATTAGCACTTGCTGCTCAGTGACAACAAGGAAAGCAATTAAGATGTACACAGGAAGCTAAATGATTATTGGGAAAAAAAAGTCAGTAAAACACAGCAAAATTTTTATATAGCAAATGGATTGCTTTTAAGAGGGGGCAAATCTAGGTGTTGCTTTGAAAAATCTCTACAGTTTTCTCATTATTCCTTGTACAGGAAGGCAATGTAAGATGTCCCCTGTGAGCAGAAGCAATGTAGGTGTTTGATGCTGCTTAAATGTCAAATTCTGAGAAGTCATCCCCACTTCTTCTAAGTGTACCAGGAAGTTCATCTCCGTGAGTGACAACGGAGGGCTTCCAAAGAGAGTTGTGTTTCTGTCCCCTCTCACTGTATCAGCATAGCTCGTTTGTATAAAAGCATAAGCAAGAAGCAGAGAGGTTTGTTCATGTGAGAGAAGGCTGTGTCTGCACATGCACTGTGATTGCAGGCATTCAGTGAACACACAAAAAAGTATCAGCTAAGTTTCACTGATACTAGTAAGATTAGTAAGACATTAGTAAGAATTAGAAAGATGTTTCCTTCTTTCATTATATCCCATTTTCTGCACAATTCTCTAGAGGTTTTCTTTGTGCATGCTCTGTGCTTTGCCAGTGCCATTCATTTTCTCTGCTGTGCCCAGGTACTGTTTGTGGGCGCCTTTGGGCTGTGGTGATCTTCATTGTCCCTCTTCTCTTTACTGTTGCCCGGGGTCTCTCTTTTTTTTTTTTTTTTCCCCCTTCTTCCTCCCCCCGCCCCAAATGGCTTGACTTCTCTGGTCTAAAAAGGGGAGGTTTGGGTGCCAAAAGCAGGATGCAGGGCATCCCTGTGGGTGCAGAGCTTTGCCAGGTGCAGCTGTGAGGGCAGGCGAGGAGGAGGGAGCAGGGCCCTCACAGCAAGGTTCGTCAGAGCATCAGCTGTGGTGTTGAAGCGCAGCAGGGAGTGGACGGCAGGGCCGGTGCCGCACTCCTCGCTTATCCCACTGAGTCACAGTTCCCCCATCAGCACGGGGAGGTGAAGGAGTCATTTCCCCACCAACTCCCTCATGCCATGAGCAGTGTTTGTGTTGGCCCACCACATGACCCAGCTGCGCCACCTGCCTTCAGGGCTGGAAGCCTTCTGGCACCATCAGCTTTCCTGTGGTGGCCAAAGATCCATCGTGCCGCCTCAGGGCCTTCCCACCCCTGCAACCGCCTCGCTTCTGGACCTTTCTGCTGGCCAAGGCCTCATGGCAGGCAGGACAGTCAGGGTGTCACCGTCCTCCAGATCTGAGAGCCAGGGAAACGCACGTCCCCCCGGTGCAGTCCTGTGACTGTCCTCTCCCTTGACCATGGTCCGACATGTGGTAGAGGAGCAACAGAGGAGCAATGGAGGTGCAGAGCTTCACTCTGCTTCAGAGAAAGGCAAACTAGACTGGACCTACGTCCCTGGCTACATTTTAGTAATTATTTTTTAATTGGACTATCCCAGTTTTTACTAAGACAGTTCTCCCAGGCAAAAGGAAAACAAATCATACTAATTTGGCACATCCATTTGACAGCTTCTGTTAAGGCCTTACATTAACTTTAACCTTTTAACATCATTACACTGGGATTTGGAGAAGAGCACCCTCAAAACTTTGGCAGCAAAGGAAGAGTCAGGGCACTGAACAGGGAAAGCGATGCCCTGAGCATCAATACTGGCAGTTTCTCAAGTGCTAAACTGCTTTAGCAGCTGAAGCTTCTCCTCCAGGTACAAAGAAAGGCCTTCTTAATTTCAGTCTAGTAACTAATATTAGCTAAATTTTGAAACAGATGGCTGCCAAGGAAAGAAAATGCTTTTCACCTTCCCTTCTCTAATAGATTATAGGATCAAAAGAAGTAGAAGTCAGCAGACGGTGGTCATATTGGTTACTTCAGTTAATTAGCCACAGATAACACTTTCTTCACTTGAGAGCCCGGTTTGAAACCCAAACCCATTTTTCTGTAAGTTAATATTTAAGATAATGAAAAAGTTTTCTTCATTTAACGAAAGTTACAGCCAGCAGCCAAGCAGTTTCACACAAAATCATGAAGACTGAATTAATCAGTCATTAAATATCACCCTGTGGCAGGAAAAAAACCCACATGTAACAATAAAAATAAACAGTCCTCAAATTATTGGAAAATTCCTTAAATATGTATGTCCCTTGTTGTTAGCATTAACAGATACAGTCACATTTGTATTAAGCTGTAATTCAAAAGTGTTCAAAGATAACCCGCCATTACAAATTAACCTCTTTCAAATATCCAAGACAAAAATAATCGTAGTCAAGATGTTTTGCGTGCTTACTTAAAAATATGAGTGATCTGTGAATGAGAGGACTTTTAGTCCATGCAGTGCGCCACTGGTATGAAGATTTGGCAGTTTCTTAGCATTGCACCTCATTCCCCTCTAATCTCCTTTCAGAAGAAGGTACCCTGCGGCCCCTCTCCTTCACAACTTGGCCTGTTCTTTCATTTTGCCAAGGACAATAGCATTGCTCCATTTCTTCCCTGGCATCATTTCCGCTGCGCCC